AGCCGAAGCACCAAATTGATGGTGCTGGCCCTAGGTTCCGCAGGATGTCCGGGAGATGAAGTAGTAAGTGTTGATTCGCACGGATGGTAGTCCCAGGGAACAATTCAAGCAATGTAGTTAGATAGTGATGTGTGTATTCACGACATTTGTTGCGCCTTTCCGGGGTGGTGATTCGCATGGACGCTAATTTCACTGCTGTGACCAAATCCATGAAGTTGGAAATGAGCTGAAACTCCCGCGATTCATCCGGAAAGGTCGCCCATAGGAATATCAGTGTCGTCGTGAGGTGGATGGTGCAGAACGTGCGCCACTCGTCTGCACCCAGGCCTAGACCGGTAGCCCTGCTGGACGATCCGACACGACGTGGCACCCTACTGACCCACGATGGTAGGACGATATTGTCCATATCAGACCATAGCGCTTCTAGGGTTCCCTTACCGAGCACTCTGATTTTCTGTCTAGATCTCTTATGCTCTTGAACAAGAGCCCCGTCCTCGGTGGTTATACCATGCTCTACCCGCTATGGGGGCATTTCAGCCGATTTCTCTCAGTAAGACGAACAATCACTCACAAATCTGTGCAATGCGGCCAGTGCATCACTCCTCTCCAGTTCCTCGGCATCGATCCTGTTCAAGCGAGACCTACATAGGGCACGCAAAGCGGTTGTACTCAATTGATGAAATTTCTTCTTCGCACCACGCTCAAGCACATATTCCGCGTTCACCAGCTCTTGCTGAGGAATTTGCTCGCTACCTACACAAATCACTGACTGTGTGCATCGTTCAGAAAAATCGACGGTGCTCATTGTAGGAGAAATGTTCACCAGGCTTCCTGCTTGGGTGACATGAGAAGCATGCTGCACAGATGCTTTACCGAAATCGTTTGCCTGGCGCTGATGGCAGGGAGATTAGTCAACCAAGGGTCAGAAATACTTAGAGCTACACCATACATATTGAAGTAACAGTTCAACAAGTTGTTTCTTCCTCATCTTGTCTGGGGATTGGAGTTGCCTCTCGTCAAGTGTCCGTGTACATAACTCGGCTAACAATAGAGCCGGTAACCTTCGTAGGTCTGTCTTCGTGCCCTCGCGGAGAGTCTGCATTCCCTTTGCGATGTCTTGCGAGGTGAGAGGTGCAGTGCTCCTGCCTGTGTCCGCCGTACGATGCAGCAGCTGTCCGCCGTGATCTACTATACCGTGCGACAAGCGCTAATGATCTGTTACTATTTGGACCAACAACGGCTAATGGAATAGACACGTACATACGCTGCGAGTTTCTCCATGACTGACTTCTTTGATAAATCCTGATAGTCGCTGAGAGTCCCACCGAGCTTCAGCGCACACACGTGCTGTAAAATGAAGCATCTCGTATTCCGCAGAGTCGACGTAGCCTTCGTTTCAAGAGCTTCTATTGCTTCCGCGATCTCCTGCTCAAGGGCCACCCCAGTAGCGTTCTGTGAGAGGTCAGACGTTACCCAGCCACGCTCTACGCGCTAAACGGAATCACGCAAGACATTAAATGGCAACGTTGTTATGAAATTATGGTATATCAAATGCACGAACCAGTCTTTGTAGGCGTCCCAGAAGTGTCTCCTTCTTGCCAGAAAACCGCAATTGTTGTTCTTTGCATAACTGTCGGAGGATATTCACTCGCAAGCCATCGAGTGATGCGATTGGTCCAGTACGCAGGATAACATATGCTGCTTGCATTTCGTCAGCATTCGCGGGGGGTTTGTTGGTTGTATCATATGTGATCCCACGAAGATCACTGTGAACGTCAACACTGATACCCCAAATTTTCTCGATGTGAGTCCCGAAGGCATTGAGGAAGAGCGCGTGCATGGGATCGAGTGCCGTGTAGCGGATGGGGTCCCAGTAAGGTAAACGGAGAAGCTCCGACCATCTTACACCAGTCCCGTCATAGATCTTCGTGCGCTCATCTTCGCTGTGCGCCAGTCTCCACTTTTGTGCATGATGACGATGGTGATCTAACGTGCGTGCAGGCCAGGTCCACCAATTGACATTTTCAATGTCAGAGCGTTTCAGATGGCAGAAAGAACAAAAAAATTGATGATGATGGCTGGCAAAACCAGCCATCTGGCGTGCAGCAAGAATGTCGCATACGAGAGGGATAATCGCACATTTGCAGCTCTTTCCTGCTGGATGGCAGGGTGTTGTGGTATAATGGACTCCATGGTGCCACAAATCAATGAAATCGTCCACTAGAGGGGAGATTAAGGGATTGATTTGGTCCATAGATGGATGATTGGGCCCAGGTATAATCCCAGCGAGAAATAGATTGTCTGTCTCGTATCGTTTGTCCGGTGGGAGGTTCAGACATGCTAGATAAATTGCTCCGATAGACTCAGGGGGACCACCTCGCCCATGGGGCTGAAAGCCATCCATGCAGAGACTAAAAATGTACCGTCCTTCATGCTCTCCAGTCTGGAGAAACAGTCGGCCATCAGCGCCATAGAACTCTCGCAGAGTTTCCGTTTCGGTGATGTCCATGCATTCACCTTGCAGCTCATCATTGAATGGCGCTAACAGGTCTTGGTCGAGAATTGATTCTAAGCCGGGAC